GGAAAAGCTCAGCAGTTTAAAGGAAGGCAAGTCAAAAGGGGAAAGAGCAGTTGGGCAGCGGCTGACTCAGAGGCAGGAGCGTGGGTGGGCACATGCTCTTCCTCCAGGGATGGAGCGGGAGAGGCTGCAAAGTCCCTGAGCTGGGAGTGACGGGGAGCACAAAACAGGCTGGTCACCCTATGGAGCACCAGCATGCTGAGCTGGAAGACGGCCTGGATTGAGGGAAGGGCTGGAGGGAGGCTGCAGAGGAGGTTTGGCTGACCCAGGCTCAGAGGAGCGGGCTCTGAGGTACGACACTTGGGCTCCCCCAGGGTGTCTGCAAGCACCAAGGCTCGCAGCACCGCAGGCACCCCCTGCTCTCCTTGCCTCCCTCTTACCGTTGCACACGACAGCCACGTCTTCGTAGTGGTAGCAGTTGTGGATGCCCCAGCCGTGGCTCCAGCACTCGCTCAAGGCTGCTTCCCGGCCCTTGCAGTCCACGTTGTCCAAGAAGATGGGTCCGCTCCCTTGGCCGAAGGTCATGGCGGGCGGGAGGGTGATGGCGTGGCCGCATCCCAGCTGGTGACACACCACGTTGGCATCCACAATGTCCCAGTCGTCATCGCAGACTGTGCCCCAGGAGTCGTTGTAGAGGATCTCCAGTCGGCCCTGACACCGGCTGGGCCCGTTGGCAAGACGTATCTCTGGAATGACGGGCAGAGAGAGGTCCCTCAGCGGGCAGCCAGCCCATCCTGGGGCCAAGGAGGTGACAAACACCCGGTGGGTGCCATGGGGGGGGCGTGAGCCCTCTCTGCACCAAATCCCTGCTCCTTAAAGGCAATGGTGGCCCTTCACAACCCACAAGGAGCTGCTGGTTGCTGCTGCCCACTGGATGGTGAGGCACGGGCTTCTCTTTGTCCGCTGGAAGCAGCGGACATGAAGACTGCACACAGCTCAATACATAAATGAGATGAACCGTCACCCCATCATCTTGCCTACTCACGGCCTGGGCAGTAACCCGGTGGGGAAGAAGAAAGCAGACACACAACATCACGTGATGCCATATGATGCGAGTGACACGTGATGTAATTAGCAAATTGTTATTAGCCTCAGCGAATGTGTCTGGAGCTGGTGCCACTTAGGAGTCGGTGGGATGGAGATGATCTCTCAAGCTGCTGGCGATGGGGGGGCAGGCCTGGAAGCATCCCTGGCCTGCCACATTAAGGGAATTGCTCGCTTAGGCATGAGGAATGGCACAGGGACAGGGACTCGGCAGGAGGTGGCAAAATTCCTCTCTCAGGATAATAAGCGGAACAGGGATAACAAAGAATCTTTATTTCCTTTCTGTAATAGAAATTTAGCTTTTTGTCGCTGCTTTTTGTCCAAAACCAATATGCTTCCTTTTTGAAATTCTCCAAACCCCATTTTTAACAAACAAACAAACAAACAAACAAACGGCATTTTTTTCAACTACAAAATTTTCTAGAGGAAAGCAACTTTAAGAGAAGAATCTCACCTGGGAATGGCAAGGGCCCAGGCTCAGAGGTGTTGCCTGCAGGGAAAAAGGAAAAGGATCAGATCTCCCCAATGTCCTCGCAGCAAGCAGAGGAGGGATGTGGCTCAGAGGGTGACGGCAGCAGGGATGTGGGTTGACCCGGCAGCCCCCTGGACCCTTCCCTTTTATGCACAGACCTGAGTGTTTTAGGGGAAAAAATACTCCCCCTGGCACAAGGCATCATTCCATCTGCTTCGCAGATGGGGAAATTGAGGCTCCATGGTGGGACTGTGCTTTAAGTCCTGGTCCACCCTTGTTGGTGCAGCTCCCCAGGATGCAGTGTGGATGGGGGGTGCCATTGCTGACCTGCTGTGAGCCCCAGGCACCTCCTGTACCCTCCTGCCCCATCTCCCCATGGAAAACTCAGGGTGTGGGATGGGAAGGAGGAAAACCAGTCCTGCCTGGCACAGGAAACTCGCTGGAGATCTGATGGAAGATGCTGCACTGGGAATCCCGATGTGCATTTTAATTCCGGTGTTCTTTTTTCCCCCAGCAAAGTCTGTTTTCCCAAGCTCTGTATTTATACGTACGTACCAGCACGCCTGTTGACAGGATGCAGCCACCTTCCGGGATGGGAACGGGCAGTCCTGGAGAGCTGCAGGCAGGATAACCCTTCCGGTGGGGCACGGGGGGAGCCCTGCTCTGCAGCCCACACTCAGGGCCACAGCCTACAAGGCACCAGTGGGTTCGGACTGGGGTGGGGGATGGAGATGTAGGTGCCCACCCCCCCACCTGCCACCCTCTGGGGTGCATGGCATCTCGCACCAGGTGCCGGTGGCACCGTCAGCTGCTCAAGGAGAAGGGGTGCCTTAAAAACTGGGAGGGAGCGGAGGGGAGCACAGCCATGGTTCCGAGCCCTCCCGGCGACTGGAGCCCAGGGGATGCTGCTGAGAGCTTTACGAGAGTTTGCGGCAGGGATGTCTTCCACAAGTGAGAAGGAGCTCGGTGGAGCAGAGGGAGCAAGAGTCTGGAGGGGAGGGACTCCTCCATTGTCTTCCCAATTAAACCTAAATGCTTTCATGTGGCAGTAGGGGGAAATCCAGGTGCTGCTCAGCTCCTGCAACACCAGGGGTGGTGTAATCCAGGGGCGTCGGGAAGTCAGGATGGGGTGTCTGGTTCCCAGCCAGCTCAGGAAGGGCAGCAGCAGGTTTGCAATATGCAGCGTGCCGTCGGGCAATAGCTGGGGCTTTCCTTTGGGTCACAAACCCACGTTTATCCTATTGTTTTCCAGCCAGCCTCACCACTTCAAAGAACCTGACTTAAGGGGTTACGTTGGCCAGGCCACATCCACCACCCAAGGGAACGAGGGGGGTGAGAGTTTGGGGACACAGACAGACAACAGGTGATTTTTGCCCTGGGTCTTTAATTCCTATTTAGTTCTCAGCCCTCTCTGACCAGTATGAACAAGCAGCATCCAGAGGGAGCTGAACGCTTGCAGGATGCATCCCCATCCCAGTCAGCTGGCTTTAAATAAGGACTCTGAAAGCACCCTGCCAGCAGCCCCGCATCCAGGGATATGGATGCTCAGGGCGGAACGTGGCCAGAGCCAAAGCTCCCCCTGGGAACACACTGCTCCATCAGGCTGGGCCCTCTCCCACAGTTTGGGTGTTATTTGGGCACAAAAACCCTCTCAGCCCCAGTTCAGGGAGATGCAGTGTCCCAGCCTGGGGCACTGAGGGCTCCAGCTTGTCCAGGGGTCACAGCAAAATGATCACCATGCCCTCGGGGACAGTGGATGAGGATGGTGGCTGGACCTCGTGGATGTCCCCGTTGATGTCCCTGCAGATGCCCCAGGAATTTGCAAGCCCTCAGCAGATACTCGAGGGCTGCAGGGATCTCCTCCGGCATCCAGGGTACCTGGGGCTCGGCACTCTGGCTGCACAGGCCTCTCCCATGGATGACACCTTCCAAACAAATGAAATCCCTCCACGCTAATTCCAACAGCCAAGGGCTGATCAAGGGTGGTGGCTCCGTGGCCTCTTTTCCTACCCCTGGTTTGGACCAGCCCTGTCCTGCTTCATGTTCAGCAGTGACTTGAAGGTCCGGAGATGGATGTCCCCGCCGTGAGAAGCAGCGTGAGCCTGGAGGGGACAGTTGAGCAGACGAACACCCTCCCTTTTGCCTTGCTAGGACGTGTCCTGGGAGACCATTGAGTCAGCTACAAAACAGTGTTGTCAAAGAACGACCTAAAACCCCCAAAAGAAATGAGAGTAAGGCAACTGCTGGGCTCTAACTACGACTTAGCGCCCAGGAGCAGGGGCTGGGAGTGAGAAGCCACCCGTACCTGGGATGAACAATGGCAGCCAGGGAGCTCTGGTGCTGCTGCCCTCCCCAGCCACCTCAGGCAGGCCCGGACAGGCTGGAAAGTGATGCTGGGATGCTGGCAAGAACTGGGAATTAAACAGGAGAGACCAAGGGGCCAGAGAGGCTGGATCCCTGAAGGAGAGGATGGGGAAGGACACAGCAGCCCTGTGGGCTGGATAATAGGAAAGAGGTAATTCAGATCACCTCTGCACCAGAAATGTGGAGATGCAAGGCTTTTTAGGAAGAGTGTTTGATCCTGGTTTGTATTGATTTTTAACACCTAGTCCGCTCCAGTGCTGAAAAGGCAGTGGATAAAAAGGGCATTGTTAAATATTCAACATTCATCTCCCTTTAAGTCAAAATCAAAGCTCTGAAATATTCATTTGAGAGCATCCTCCAGCAAAGTCAAGAGAGACCTGAAAAAATATGCCTGATATGTCTACATTAATGAGGAACGAGAGGAAGCCGGTATGTGTTGAGAAGAGAGCGGGCCCTCCGCACTTCTCTGATCCAGCTTCACAAAGCCAAAAGAAAAGGGGAAACCAGCTCAAGTAAACATCACCGCTCTCTGGGCACAGAGCTAAATAAAGCCGACAAATGGGAAGACAAACTGCCCTTCGTTAGCGACTTAGCGGTGCCCATTAACGAAGAGAACCGGGAGAGCCCAGCAGTGCAGGGGACAGCGGCAGAGCCAGTGGGGTCACCCCGTGGTCCCCACACCACAGGCAGCTCGGAGGGGGGAAGATGGGAAGCTCCAGCTGAGGAGATGAGAACTGTAAAACCTGATTTAATCCAATTAAGGTGTCTGACTACACCTTAATTGCCTGCTTTTTGGCTGGCTTTGTCTTGGCAGAGCTTTGTTGAGGCAGGAAGGTGTTACCAACCGCCTGGCTGCAATTACACTGATGAAGTCACACCAGGATAATTACGCTGCCGCAGCGCTCGTGCGGACCCTCACCCGAGAGCAGAAATGGCTTTTTCCAGTTCCAGTTAAATGCTTCCTGGCCTGGCCGGACAGTAGTGGCTCAGGACTGAAGACAGGGATGGGCGCTCATCGCACCCATCGCCTCAGCAGGACCAGTCCCACGGCTCCCATCCCACTGCCTGCTGTGGGGTCAGCCCTGTGCCATCCTGTTGCTGGCAGCTGCCTGCTCCGGCTCCTGCCTGCTCCAGCGTCTGTCTGCTCCAGCGCCTGCCAGCCCTGAATGCTGAACTTGCCATCATGCACAGGTCACAGTGGGGGATCAGAGCTGGACCATCCCTGCGCTCCCTCCATCCCTGTGCACACTCAGTGCCGCTGGGGACATTGTGATATTCCTGCTCATGGCTCCCTGTGATGAAAATCTGCCCACCGATCTGAGGCCAGGAGGGAGATCATGGGTCCCTAAAATTGCCCCCTCCCACCACACCACGCAGGAGCTCACCAGTGGGGCTGAGGAGGAGAAGGAGGACCATGGGTGGCATCAGGGGGAAAGGCAGTACCCCAATGTCCAGTTTTCCCACGCCGTGCCGGCTGGCTGGACAGGGACCGAGCCTCATTGCTGCACCGTGGTCCTCCCGCAGACGGGTGAGCAGAGGAGGTTGTCCCTGAAAGATGCAGGCAGCGGTGTTAGTGCTGATGGCCAGGCGAGCCCTTGCCCCAGCAAGGGCCATGCAGGACCTGCAAACAACTCCTTCCTTGGCACTTGCTGGAGCAGTGACCAGGAGTCACATGAAAAATAACTCAGGTTGGATTTATGGAAAAGAAGGGATTTTTTTTTTGAGTGGCAAGATGGAGCTGCAGGGCCTCATCCCACCAGTGAGACAAAACTGGAAGCAGCGAGAGCCTCAGGGCTGGGCTGCTGCACGGGCAGAAGGATGGACCTCAGACCCTCCAGGACACCTGAATGTGGAGCCTCAGAGCCCTTGCCCAGGGTCTTCAGCCCCCAAGACATTCAGGGAACCATCCAGTTTGCATCCACATGGAGCTTGTCCTCCTGTTCTACATGAGGCTATAAGCAAACCCCATAGCACGTATAGACCATATACCCCATACCACACATGGGTAAACTGAGTCACACAGCAAATCCAGGCAGAACTGGGAAGCAGCTCCCCATCCACACAAACCCGAAAGGCACTTCCTAAACCATGGAGTGGCCCTAGTGCTCCAGCAAGTCACATCACACAATCCCCTTTGGAAAGGGATGGCGCTTCATTTCACCTCCAGCCAGGCTGCCCACCCCATGTCCCCCCCGCAAGGCTGCTCCGGCTCTGCCGGTGGGAAACGCTCAGCTAAAGCCCAGCCTGGACACAGCCGTGGCTGACTCTGCTTGGCCTCGCTCCTCTCCCTCCAGCGGGCTCCTGGAGTCCATGCCCACCTCCTCCTGCCTGAAGAGGGCACCTGCTCCATGGGTGGCACAGTCTCCCTGCTCCCGGGGGCCCTTTCTGTTGCCCAGCCTGTGCTGGGGTCCCCATAGGGTCCCACCAGGCAGCAGGTGGTCAAATATGGCACTTGAGCTACCAAAACGCCATTGGGTCCCTTGCACCCATCTTTCTTCCTCACCCCATGACAAGTTAATGCACCCAAGAGCTCCCCAGGGAAGCTCCAATCCCTGGTCCCTCATGTCCCTCAAGACCTCTGTACCAACCACCCACCATGAGACCTCTGTGCCTCAGCTGGCACATTCCCAGGGGCTTTACCCGGAGAACCCTGT